CGCGCAGAGCCCGGCCGGGCGCACCGGACGGCGCTGCAGCCTGCAGCGAGCCCGCGCCGGCACCGCAGGCCCCGCGCAAGCCCCGGCGCGTTGCAGGGTGCGGACACAGCGCTGAGCCCGCATCAGCCGTAGTGGTACACAAAGTCATAGCTGCTCGGCTCCTTAGGGATAGGGGGTGGCGCTTCAGGGATCTGGATGTTCTCCAAGTCCAGAAGTCTCAGTTTCATCTCCATGCTCAGCAATGTGTCCAGGTCACTCTTGGTCAGCTCACTGGACATGTCCTTCCCCAAGAGCGCGTTAAGCCCATCAATCCAGATACAGTACTGCGGAAAAGAAGAAAAATTCACAATTCCATGCATAAGCCATAGGTTATATCGAGTCTCTCACTCCATGCAACGTAGGGAAATACTCCAATATAGCTCCAAAAGAGGTAACACAGGAGGGAGTTAAGAGGAAAAACAAAACAGACAAAAACAAAACAAAAGAAAACCCACATGCTCAAGAAGTATCCAACGGAAGACAGACACCTAGAGGTAAGCATGACCACGGGCCTCCTGTGAAAGGGTTATGAGCTTGTAGGGTGGCAAAATGGCAGAAAAGACAAAGCAATTCTAGGCATTAGGCTAATACAATTAGACTAATAGTGATTTACAGAATGGGGAAGAGCGAACAACCATCTTCAGAGGAAGAAAGAAACTAGTAGCCCAGACCAAGGGAAACTGGTGTAGGAATTTGTTAAAACAGAAGAACAAATGGGAAAAGGGGAAATCACACAAAACATCAGCAACAATATTTAAGAAACGGGTGGAAGACATCCTGCTCAAGCCTCTAATGAGAAGCAACTCATCCTTCTTAGTCTCTAATTACACTGTTAATTGCTTTAGTCTACTGCTAAACCGCCATCTTTCTTACCTCATATTTATTAGGTGCAATGAAGTTCAAGGTCTCATCAGGATCGTACAATATCGAGAAGGCCAATTCTAACACTTCCTGAATGGAAAAGAATCTTTCACTCATTGACTGAACAAAGCACCACAGCACCTTCTGCCTACTAATCCAATGAGCAGTCACGGAGCTGCAGCTCAGTGCATTTTCCCAAATCACTATTCTAAGCAACTCTGAGTAGCCCGCAGCATAGCAGAGCAGTAGCTATCAATTACAGACTAGCACTGGAAAAAGTCCCAGATATGAGATTTCTGTAAACCATACACAAGAGGTTGCAGTGTGGAAGATTGTGGCTTGCATCCACTGTCCTCCACAGTATAGTGTTAGGCATCATTTATAGGCCAAACGGGAGCAATTACCTTGTTCTGTTTCAACGCACTCTTCTCCTTCATATGTGGACAATCCTTCCCTGTGACAATGGCTTTGATGTCTGCAACTGGAACTAGAAGTGAAAAAGTAAGGGTCACAGACAGGAAAAATCCTAACCAAGACCTCTATACCCTTCTCTGCAGGGCTGCTCTCCAGCAGGTCAACACCCTAACTAGTTCTCAATTGACCTCACTCTCCACTCATCTAACCCATACTTCCTGA